CCCCAAAACCCCAAAACCCCAAAACCCCAAAACCCCAAAACCCCGAAGAAAAACTATTTATTGAGCAAGAGGAGAGCTCTATAATTAATTATTAGTTAGCATACTAGATGAACTCAAGATTAACCATAAATCTTTTGATCATATTCCTTATTGTTCTATTTGTCCAGAAACATCGAGCAATGTAAGTCAGAGAGCCAAGCAACCGGCTGGTGGGATTTTAGACGGGGTTTTAGAAAGGATTCACCAGCTTCAGCGGATTTTAACCGCTGAAGATAGTAGTAAATGATGTGGAGATAAGCTAATGGTTTATATAGAGTCACATATCAAGCATTATTGGAACCAGAAATTGAAGTCAAGAAGGAAAAGTGTGATGGGTGAACTGGTGGGAACTCAACTGATGATGGGGAAGAGGAGCTGGTCAATTACCGTCCCATTATTGGTATTTTCACTCAGCCATTCAATAATTCTCATGACTACATCATGTCTTCCTATGTCAAGTTCGTTCAGTTAGCTGGTGCAAGAGCAGTCCCAATTCAATGGAGAGACTCTGATGAAGATATTGTCGAGCTTGTCAGTAAACTTAATGGAGTTTTATATCCTGGAGGTTCTACTCCAGTAAGAAGAAAGGATGGATCTCTTACTAAGCATACCAAGAAAGTTGAACTTGTTACTAACCTAGTAAAAGAGTACAATGAAGAAGGTATTCATTACCCAATCTTGGCTATTTGCATGGGATTCCAGCAGATCACACAGAGTGAAGCTCCTTACAAAGACACCCTTATCCTTAGAGAGTTTGATTCAGTTAATAACGCCAACAATGTTACTTTAGCTGATGAAGTATCTGAATCCAAACTATTTGAAGAGATGCCAGACCATTTGATCGAAGCTTTAGAAGAAGAGAACATCACCTACAACCACCACTACGACGGAATTAAGCCTGAAGTGTTCGAGAAGTACTCTAACCTCAGGGAGGAATACCACATGCTTGGAGTATCTTACGATGAGAAAGACCAAGAATACGTTGCTGTGATCGAAGCTAAGAATTTCCCCATCTACGGTCTCCAGTTCCATCCAGAGCAGAACATTTACTCGTGGAGGCCAAATCCAGAAATCCCAAATTCCAGAACTGCTATTGAATTTAGTCAATACTTAGCCAACTTCTTTATCGATGAGGCTAGAAAGAACGACAACAGGTTTGAGTCCTACGATGAGATCTTTGAGAACAGGATAGATACCACTCCTTTGCATTTCCCAGAGGACGGTAAACAAGAAGTTTATGTCTTTGAGATTGAAGACAGATCCTAAATGTAAATATAATATCGCATTTAAATAATCTTTAAGGTGGGTTGTTCTGAACCGAAAAGTAATTGCAATGTATGTAATTCACCAAAATTATGGGAAGAAGAAATTTCAATGCTAAATATAATATTCGGGGTTTTGGGGTTTTGGGGTTTTGGGGTTTTGGGGTTTTGGGG